TTCCCTGAGCTTTGGGCGGGGAGCCCTGACATGGGGGCTCCGGGCGGGAACTGCCTTGCTTGGCCGTGTGGGGTTGGCCTGGGGTCGGGCAGAGCACATACACTCGGCCCCTGACCCCCGTCCGGCTGCTGGTCCCAGGAAGAGCAGCAGCGTCTGCAGGAGGAGCAGGAGAAGAAAGCCAGGGAGGCTGCCGCGGCCAGCAAAGGCCTGAACACGACCGTGGACGTGCAGGTGAGGCTGGGCCGGGCAGCGAGGAGCCCGGGTTCTGATTGTTCTCCTCCCGGAGCTGGGGGCGTGGTCAGGTCTCAGGACCCTAAGAAAGGGGGCCGCAGGGGCCAGTAGGTCTTACTGTTCTGGACACGCGTGTTCTTTCTTAATCTTCAAATATAATTTGTTTTTTTAAGAAGAGAAACTTAAGCTTTATAAGAGAGTAGAAAGTAAAGGAACCTTGGATGAAAGTGCTATGTTTTCACACGTCTAAACGTTATGGACAGTTCTGAGCGGACACGACTGTGCCTCCTGTCCTAGTCCCCGGCTGCGGAGACCGGGTGGCTGAAGCGAGCATTTATTGAGACGGGACCGCCAAGGCCAAGGCGCCCGCAGAGTCCGTGTCTGCGGGGAGCTTCCTGGTTCACAGACAGCTGTCTTCCCGCTGTGCCCTCGGGGGTGGGGTGGGGGCGTGGGGAGGAGACGGAGCTTTGGAGTCTGAGGGCACTGATCCATTCACGAGGGCTCCACCCGCATCACCTGAGCACCCCCGAAGGCCCCCCTTCTGATCCCATCGTGTGGAGAGAGGGGGGTTAACAGATTTGGGGGGACGTCGGAGATCTGTTCCTACGATGACGTAACGCGATTTTCACCGTAAGTGGGAACCCACCTCCATAAGCACCTACGTCCCTCACATGGAGCACAGACACAGTAACTAAGGGAAACAGTGAAACAATTTAAAAGAAAGATAACAATTCCTGGCCTTTACTTGTGGAAAATAAATAATAAGCAGCATAAAGCACATGTGTACATACGTCAAAATGACGGAACTTTTTTTTTTTATAAATAAGTGGGAGGTGGCGACGTAACCACGAAAGGACGAACCCGAGGGCTGCCTGTATTTACTCCCGTGCATGCCACTTGGCAGCTTGGTATTTCTTCCTCCATTATTTAGATTGTGTTGTACCCCTGTGTCGGCACTTGCCTCTCCTTTTTGACTGTACCAGCTGCTGGTACCGGCGCCCGCCGACAGGCACTTAGGTGACTTCCAGTTGGGCGCTCTACAGGCAGCATGTGATGAGGGTGGGTTTCAGCGCGGCACAGGAAGTCGGGCCACGGGGCTCCCAGGGGTCCCCAGTGCTGTGCACAGAGACATGTGGACCTGGAGGGACGTCCGCAGCTTCCACACGAAGCAGGAGGAGGCCGGCTGTGTGTGGGTGTGACTGCTTGGCCCTGAGCCTTTTGATTTCTGTGACAGGAGGGGAGGTGGCCGGGCCCCAGCCCCTCGGTGGGGGAGGGGCGCTGACGCCCTCGTTTACTTTTCCAGTCTCCAGCTTGTACCTCCTATCAAATGACGCCACAGGGGCACAGGGCTCCCCCCAAGATCAACCCGGACAACTACGGGATGGACCTGAATAGCGATGACTCCACCGATGATGAGTCGCATCCCCGGAAGCCCATCCCCTCCTGGGCCAGAGGTGAGCAGGGCCTGGAGTCTGGGTCCTAGTCCTCACTGTGCCTTCGGGCCCTGGAGGGAGTGGCTTGGCCGGTGTGGTGTGGGGAGGCTGTGGTGCCTGCACCCGCCTGGGACGCCTCAGGGAAGAGTGGGGCCCTGTCCCGTGGGCTCACCCTTGGAGCAGATGCTGACGCCTGTGTTCTCACCAAGCACATGCACGTGGGGCTGGCCGTGGGCACCTGGTGCCGGGTTTTCTGGCTCTAGGCCCTCCTCGCAGGCCTGCCCCTCCTTGCGGGCGATGAGACTTGGGCCTAAGTGAGCAGCATGGGGTGGATGGAGCCCCGAGAGGTGATGGGGCTTAGCAGCACCCTGAGCTCCGGTGGGAGATCCCGCTGGGGAGGCAGGGAAGCCCGCGGGGGGCGGGAGGGAGGTGGGCACCGGAGCAGGATTTGACCTTGTGGTTCACGGGCCCCGGTGCTTAAACAGGATGTGGGTGAGTGTGCAGCCTGCGGCAGTGGAGCGGGCGTGCATACAGTGGTGCTCTTGCGTACAGTGGTGCTCGTGCATACAGTGGTGCTCGGCAGAGAGCAGGGCTGGGCCGGCAGCTGCAGCAGGCAGCTTGCTCTTGGGACGGCCGCCTCACTTCAGCCCCACAGTAGCCAGGCTCCCTAACGGCCAGCATCGGCCACTTGGGAGGTATCAGCAGGGGTCCTTGTGGCCAGGGAGCCAGGGGACTAGCAAAGCCACCTGACTGCAGTTGACCTTCGTCAGCTTAAACTCCTTTTTCTCATCTGTGAAATGGGCATGATAATAGCACCAGCTGAGAAGGGTTATTGAGGAAGAAGTTAGCACACTGAAGGCCTGGTGCAGAGCAAGCGGGCACACTTTCCCCCTGGTCGTCCCTGACGGCCCCCTCTGTCTGCACCCCCACCTCAGGGCCCGAGCGGCTGGCTGCCGAGATAAATAGCTGCGCACAGGAGTCAAGGGGGACGGTGTCATAGGCTTAAGTTCTGAGCTTGACTCGAAACCCTGGCTCTGCCAGTTACTAGCCGGGCGCCTTTGGGCCCAGCTCACCACTATCAAATGGGGAGACTGAAGGATGGGCTCCAGGTGCCTGTGGGGTAATGAGAGCCCGGCCCCGTGAGCGCCTGAGGACAGCGTGCAGGCGCGGCTGCCGGACAAAGCGGGACAGGGTGATGGTGTTCGGTGGGGGCGGGAGGAGCAGGGCTCCGAGGAGCTGGCCTGGCAGCAGGTGGGGCCTGCTGGCGTGGAGAGGCTGACGGGGCTCTTGGGGGGGGAGCAGGGGGACCCCCAAGGCAGTGACCCGGCCCTGTGTCCCCTGCAGGTGCCCAGCTCAGCCAGGCCATCCTCCACCAGTACTACCACCCCCCGAACCTGCTGGAGCTCTTCGGCACCATTCGCCAGCTGGACTTGGAGGACATCTTCAAGAAGAGCAAGCCTCGCTACCACAAGCGCACCAGCTCCGCCGTCTGGAACTCGCCGCCCCTGCCGGGCCCCCGGGTCCCCAGCAGCCTGACCTACAGCCTGAAGAAGTTCTGAGGCAGCCCCTCTGTCTGTCTGCCATGTCTCCGTTGGTCTGTGCCCTCCTGCCTTGTGTTCTGTCCTGAGGGTGGTTCTGTATGTTCTATCTGTGTTCTGGTGGCCCCGGCTGTGTGGAGGCTGCACGTGGTGTGCGTCCGGGGACGTCCCGGGCCAGCCCACGTGGTTCTGTAAATAGGTTGCAATAACTTAGCCTGGACTCGAGCAGGTAGATTAATAAAGTTGATGCCTTTAAGCCTGCTGTGGGTTTTGTGAAGACGGGCCTCGGCTGACCCTGGCCCCTGGCCCTGCCGCCGTGTGTCATGGGCCACCAGAAGGGCTGGGGCGGGGGCCAGGCTTTGTGCCTTGTCCTTGTGCTTCAAGGTCACGGTCCCGCCCCCAGAGATGAGATGCGGTGGGTGCTTGTGCTGCCTTCCCTGGGCGGCCTGAGAAGCACTGCTGCTCTCAGGATGGGCAGGTGCAGATCCTCCTGTGCTTCTGGGGAGCCCCCTGTTTGTAAGGGGGTGCGACTCCCTGGGAGAGGCCTGGGGTTGGCTCCGCCCCTTAAGGCAGTCCCTCAGCCCCTCGCTGCGTGGATGGTGACGGGGTGAGCTGCTTCACAGGAGCAGAAAGGGATGAGGAGAAAGGAGATGGCTCTTCAAACTACCTCGGGCCGTGCTTGCCAGCAGTTGAGATGTTTTCCACAAAACCAGGAAGCTGCTAATGAAATGCTTAGTGCTCATGGGAGCCGGCCCTGGTCCTGCCCGGAGCTGCCAGCTGAGTTCTGGATGTGTGAGGGCGCCCCTTGTCCGCTGCCGCTCCAGCACCTGGTGGGTCAGGGGCCAGGTCAAGCTGCAGCCAGTCCTGTGCAGTCTGATCGGAACCCACCCAATGGAAAGGCCCGTTGTCCCCACTGCGCTGCCGGGGGCAGAGTGAAGGAGCCGCCACAGGCCCGATGGCCCGCGAAGCTGTAAGTACTACCATGACCCTTTACAGAAAACGCGTGCTGACTCCTTTAGAGCTCAACCCAGACTGCATCCAGGAGTGCTTTTAACAAGGAGGACGTGGGCGTCCATGGCTGCTGAAATCTAGAGGACCCCACCCATGCCCACGCAAACATTTCACACGTCCTTCAAATTCGGTGCACAGTTCAAATTGAGTCCATATATTCTCTGACTAGAAACTTGTGTTGAGTCAAAGGGTGAGTCACCATGTGAAAATCTTACTTCCTCGGAGTGTGTTTCTATCGTGTTTAGAAAAGGTAGTTGCAGTTGTTCTGCATCCTCGCGGACACTTGGTGTTGGCAGGATTTCTCATTTTAGCCATTTGAATAGATGTGTAGTGAAAGCTCACTGTGGTTTTCATTTTTGTTTTCCTAACGGAATGCTGGTGAACACCTTTTCATGTGCTTATTTACCATCTGTGTATCTTTGATGACGTGTCCAAATCTTGTTCATTTTTTGTTTTTAAATTTTGCCTTTTTAATTATTTTTGTTCTTTTCTAACTTTTCTTTTTTGTTGATTTTTGCATCGGGTAATTTTCTTACTGTTGTGCTTAGGACTTTTATGTGTTATGGGTACAAATTGGTTGTCAGCTACGTGATTGCAATATTTTCTCCTGGTCTGCAGCTTGTCCCTTCACTTAACGGGTTTTCACAGAGCAACAGTTTTTATTTGGGTGAAATCCAGTTTATCAAATTGTTTTCTTACATGGATTATGCTTTTTGTGGCATGTCTAAGAAATCTTTGTCCAGCCTCAGTTCTCGATTTTCTTCTAAGTGTTCTATAGTTTAACATTAAAGTTACATTTATGATCTATTTCAAGTTAATTTTTTCAAAGTGTGAGGTTTATGGTTTTTGTCTGGGGACACGTGAATGGATGTCCACTTGTTCCAGGACCCTTTGTTGGAAAGACTATTCTTTTTGCACTGAATTCCTTTTGTATCTTTGTCAAGAATCCATCAGCCATTTTAATATAGGTTTATTTCTAGACTTTGTACTCTCTTCCATTGGTCTATGAGTCTCTCCTTTTGCAAATAGTACATGGTCAAGATTACTGTAGCTTTTTGTGTCTTAAAAACCTGGTAATGTGCCCTATTGGGTTTGGCTCAGTGGATAGAGCGTTGGCCTGTGGACGGAAGGGTCCTGGGTTCAATTCTGGTCAACGGCATGTACCTTGGTTGTGGGCTCGATCCCTAGTAGGGGGCGTGCAGGAGGCAGCTAATTGGTGTTTCTCACGATGTTTCTAACTATCTTTCTCCCTTCCTCTATGTAAAATCAATAAAAAATATTTTTTTAAAAATCTGGTGGTGTGATTCGTACTTTATTCTTACAAAATTATTTTGGCTTTTCCTCCTATGTAAGTTTTGCCTTCCTTTGTAAATTTCAGAATCAGCTTATCTATACGAAAGCCCTGCTGGGATTTTCACTAGAATTGCATTAAGCCTATAGGATAAGTTTGGGGAGAGTTCAAATATTTATGATGGTGAATCTTCTAAACCATGAACATGACATAGCTCCACTTATTTCCATTTTTTTGTTTGTTTCTTTCACCAGCGTTGTGTAGTTTCAGCATACAGATTCTGTACAAGTTTTATTGGATTTAGAGCTAAGTAATTGTTTTCTTGGAACTATTGTAAATGGTGTTGTTTTCCTAATTTTGGTTTCTACTTGTTCATCACTGGTTTATGGACCATAAGTTAACTTTTGTGTGTTGACCTTGTATCTTATGGTGCAATGAAAGCTGTGCTTAGAGGGAAAATTACAGCACTAGATGCTATGTTAGGGGAAAAGAAGTCTCAGATCAGGGACCCCAGCTTCCACTTAAGAAAAAGAAGAGCAAATAAAAGTATAAGCAGGAGAAGAGAAATAATAAAAGTAGAGCAGAAATCAATGACCCTGGAAAAAAGTAATAGCCCTGACCGGTTTGGCTCAGTGGATAGAGCAGCTGTGGGCAAACTACGGCCCGTGGGCTGGATCCGGCCCGCTTGAAATGAATAAAACTAAAAAAAAAAAAGACCGTACCCTTTTATGTAATGATGTTTACTTTGAATTTATATTAGTTCACACAAACACTCCATCCATGCTTTTGTTCCGGCCCTCCGGTCCAGTTTAAGAACCCATTGTGGCCCTCGAGTCAAAAAGTTTGCCCACCCCTGGGCTAGAGCGTCAGCCTGCAGACTGAACTGTCCCAGGTTCGATTCCAGTCAAGGCCATGTACCTTGGTTGGGGGCACATCCCCAGTGGGGGGTGTGCAGGAGGCAGCTGATCGATGTTTCTCTCATTGATGTTTCCAACTATCTATCCCTCTTCCTTCCTCTCTGTAAAAAATCAATAAAATATATTTTTAAAAAAGTAATAGAAAAAATTTAAACCAAAAACTGGTTCTTTGAGAAGCTCAAAAACAAATCATACACCTGTCTGCACTGAACAGGATAAAGAGAAATGACCAATGTCACGAATGATGGAGGTAAAACCACGACAGCCTCTACAAATATTAGGAACAACGATGGCAATAAATTTTATTGTAGAAGAAATGAGCACAAATTCCTTGGAAGATACAAAATATCATAGTTCACTCAGGAAGAAAGAAAAAACTTAAATAGCCCTACTTATGAAATTGAATTTGTAGTTTAAAATTTCACAAAGAATACTCTAGGCCAAATCATTTTTGTGGTACATGTTACCATTTATTCAAGGAAGAAATGATACCAATTCTACACCGCCTCTCCCAGGAAATTGAAGAGGAAAGAATACTTCCCACTCCATCTATGAGGCCAACCGACATTGTTGGGATCCCTAAACCAGAAAAAGGTATTGTAAGGGAAACCAAACAGTTATTCTTCAGGAACATCAACATAACAATTCTAAACAAATTTCTAGCAAGTCAAATCCATTAAAAGGGATAATAAATCTGAAACAAGTTTATCTCAATAAGATAGATTGAACCTTTGAAAGTCAACTAATACAATTTACCATATCAATACATGAGGAAAACTACGTGATTAATAGATGCTGAAGGTGGGTTTGACAATTCACTAATTGATGATAAAAGCTCTAGGCAAATTATAATTAAAGGGAATTTCCTTGGTTTGATAAAGCTCATTAAAAAACCCTCTACCAAACATCACGGCGAATGGATGCATTCCTCCAACAAGCTGAGTGCAAGGATGTCAGTGCCATTGCTTCTGAACATTCTGTAGGAGGTTCAGCCAGTGCAGTGGAGCAAAGAGGAAAAGGCACCATAAATGAAGAATCGCTTCCCGGACTTTTGTCTAAGATCAAGTGGAAAAATATTTTCAGAGCTGA